TCAATAAAATCATTATTAAACAGGTTCATAAACAATTTCTAGGCAGAAAAAAATTGTGCGATTCGCTGACTCACCAAAAAACTTGCCTCATTTTGTTGCAGCACCCAACACCAGCAGCAGCATCAGCAGCGTCGGCGGCGACGGCGGCCTCATTGCACCTGTCATCGCATGCATTAAATAGTCATAATTTAATCAACAATCATTCGCCAAAATCGCCCAACCAGACGCAACAGCAGCAACAGACGACGACAATACACCAGCAGCAGCAGCAACAGCACAATATATTGTCAACATTTGCTCCCGCGCCAATAGCAACAGGAACACATGCCCAGGTTGAGCAGGCAGCAGCAGCAGCAGCATCCGTAACTGCAGCAGCTGTTGCCGCCGTCACACAGCAACAGCAGCAGCAACATATGCAGCTGCTGGCGAACTGCGCTTCCAGCAATAATCTAATGTCCTCCTCGCTAACGCTGCATGCGCCGGTTGGCGCATTGCCGCCAAAAAGCTTAGCCCTCACCGGCGGCGGCGGCGGCGGCGTCGGCAATTGCAGCAACAGCGGCAGCAACAACATGTTGCTGCAGTCCGCACAACCAACAGTTGCCAACAGCGGGAGCAGCAGCGGCAACAACAACACCAGCAGCAACACTAGCAGCAGCAACACCGCAGGCATGTCCACATCGCTGCACAGCTTCGATATAAACGGCGGCAGCTTGGACAAGTGGACAAGTGGCTCCACAACTGCCATGAATCATGCATCGCTATCGCCCACAGGTGCACCGCAGCAACATCAGTTGCGAAAATGTGAAGTTAAGCTGAATGCAATGCCGTAAGTTGAATTCTAAAATTGAGCAACATTTCAGTTATAAACCGAATTCATGTATTCAATCTATATTGGTTGATTTGATAGATAACATTTTCTATATGTCCCAAACTTTATGTATACAAGTCATAATATCATAAGTGATGTTCTCCATGGTCTACATTCAAAGCGTTATATGCACACCTGACTGTATTAATTGGTGCTAAATTAATTATACATTTAACCTTCAAAGCATCCTCTTCACTTTCAATTGCCACCAGCTCTCATTTCGTTTTGTTTGTTTCCTCCTCGACAGCTGGTTTCATGGCAGCATAACGCGCGACGAGGCGGAGCATTTGCTGCAGCCGCGCGAGGATGGCCTGTTCCTGGTGCGCGAATCGACAAATTTTCCCGGTGATTATACGCTGTGCGTTTGCTTTCAGGGCAAGGTGGAGCATTATCGTGTCAAATATCTGGAGAATAAGTTAACCATCGACGATGAGGAATACTTTGAGAATCTGGGACAACTTGTAGCGGTAAATTCTGCGAAATTTTTCAATCGAAAACCTTACTTATACGTAGTTTTATTTTTTTTGCTCCAGCACTATGAGGCCGATGCGGATGGTCTATGCACGCAGCTCATTAAATGTTTGCCCAAATTGGGTAAACAAGAGTTTTGCATCAACTCCAAAGAGTTTGTCGACAAGGGTTGGGTAATACCCGAGGCGGAGCTGCAGCTGCGGGAGAGCATTGGCAAGGGCGAGTTTGGCGACGTCATGCTGGGCATATTGCGCAACGAGAAGGTCGCCGTCAAGATGCTCAAAGATGAGGGCGCTGTGCAAAAGTTTCTCGCCGAGGCGTCGGTCATGACGTGAGTGACATAAATTCCAAGAGAAGCTTTTTCAATTAATCTATACTTGCTTTTGCGCTTGCAGCACGCTGGAGCATGAGAATCTGGTCAAGTTCATTGGCCTCGTTTTTACCAGCAAACATCTCTACTTGGTTACGGAATACATGAGCAAAGGATCGCTGGTTGATTATTTGCGTTCGCGTGGACGGCAGCACATAACCAAAAAGGATCAAATCAATTTCGCCTTGTAAGCTCCCACATATTATATATTGTCATTGATCTATTCTTAATATTCCCTCTCTTTGGACCTTGCAGCGACACCGCCTCTGGCATGGAGTATCTGGAGGCCAAAAAGGTTGTGCATCGCGATTTAGCTGCACGTAATGTGCTTATCTCGGAGGACTGTGTGGCCAAGGTATCTGACTTTGGTCTGGCACGCGAGGAATGCTATAATCTCGACGTTGGCAAGCTGCCCATCAAATGGACAGCGCCCGAGGCACTCAAAAATGGCGTAAGTTAACTTGAATATAAATAAAAGTATAGTTTGAGTTTGGTTTTCTAGTTAGCGTATAAAAGCCACATTTTTAATTGGCTTTGTAAGATGTGTATTTCATGTCTTAACAGCTGTTAGCTGTGGCAAGCTCTAACTAACATTCGTGTGTAATGTTATGCAAGAACTCGAATAATATAAGAGCTCTTATTAAAGCAAACTGCTGTTTACACCCGCTTTAAATAACAGTTATGTATATATTAAAACTTAACAGCTGTTAAAAGCGGTTAACAGGAGCTGCTGTGCCTTGGAATTTACAGAAGAGCGCATAAAAGCTAGAAATATATGGAAATATGTTCAATTATTTTATTCTATTATTTTTTAATTAAGTCAAACTAATATTTTGTTACTATTTCTTTCGCAGCGCTTTTCTAACAAATCGGATATGTGGAGTTTTGGCATACTACTGTGGGAAATCTACTCCTTTGGCCGTGTGCCCTATCCCCGAATTGTAAGTACTTTAAGATATATATATATAAATTTCACAAGTAAAAAACTTTTCCGACCCACTTTTAGCCACTGGCGGATGTGGTAAAGCACGTAGAGGTTGGCTACAAAATGGAAGCGCCAGAGGGCTGTCCAGCGGAAATCTACGAAATGATGCGTCAGGCGTGGGATTTGAATCCAGCGAAGCGGCCAACATTTGCGGAGCTGAAAGTGAAGCTGCAGCAGCTAAATAATGCAACGGCGTGAGAGGCTCACGAAAACAACAACTAAAAACAATTCCAATAGCTAATGGAAAATTATGTTTAAAACGTCTTTAGTTTGAGGGCTGGAAAAAGGAAATGGGAACCGGCAAGGCAAAACGAAAACTTCGTTTACACACTGACACTGAACGCAACAAATTTTCGTACCAATAATATATAGATATATATATATCTTTATATATATATATATCATTCTCTAGACGTATACAACTAATTTACAACAATTTATTTACATATATAATTTATGCGATAAGTTTTTTGTAAGCTTAAGCGAAGGAAACCCAACACAATCAAGCAATGTTAGTGAGTTGCGCCCCAGCTAACGATCTATAACTACAATATAACGATATATACATATACATATATATACATACATACAAACATACAAACATACATACGTACATTACATAAACATATAAACACATATGCAGCGTTGTGTAGTTTACTATTACTATTACTAAATTATATACATCTATATTTGTGTTAATTGTAGGTTCTATATTTATATTGTTTAGCGCCCCCAAATTCAACCAATTGTACACACTACTTTCTCTACTTCTTTCTCTCTCTCTATATATATATACAAATCTTTACGTTTTATGTTATAGAATACGCATACATATGAGTGGCCCGGCGGAGCTTAACTGTTTTTTTGGGGCGTTAAAAAACAAAAAAAAATTGTTTATATATTGTTTTTCTCTTCAGCTTACTTGTAAATCCCAATTTCGGGCGAGTTATGTACAATTTCTGTTAAACACTCTCTATTTGTAGCACAAACGACCAGCAACAAAAACTTGTACAACAAGTTGCTGAACAAAAAACAACAACATTAAATATAATATAAATAAAAATAAAACAGCAAATTAGTTAAATTTAGTTACATTTATATTTGTATATCTAATCAAAAATGAGCGAAAATTATAAAAACAAAACCCAAGTAAATTAAAAATTTGACTTCAACCTATCAAAAAACGAAAAAAAGGCAGCTTGGGCTGCGTGTCCTTAAAAACTACAACAAGCGAAAAACAACAAAAAAAAAACACTTGTGAAGATATGCATTACATTAATACTATTACATATTACAAAAAACACATTAAACTCTAAATACTTAGCATATGTGGCATGTTTAATGTTTAATAATCATAATAATAATATAAATTATTACGCGCAAGTTTCATCTACTATGTGAAATTCCCCCAAATCAATCCAAATGTTCTGTCTACCTTTTTGTTTATTATTGTGGAATCTCTTGCAATCTTTTTTATATATATATATATGGTATATGCAATACATATAGATGATAAATCAGAATGTCGCTTTAAAGACCAGCAAATGAAATACCCTGCAGCATAAGAGAATTTGTAATTTATTTATGCATATTAACAATTTATACATATAATTTACTTAACTTTTTATGTTTTATATACGTTTCTTGTTCCATAAGAAACATGTACAATTTTGCTTTAACACTTACTTTTATTTTACACACACAAACACACGTACACGTCCACATCAACTTACATTTAATTTAAAGTTATTACTTTTTTAAAAACAACAAAACCTAAAAATAGTTCACAACATTTTTGTCAAACAAACTCTAAGTTAGAAAAAAAAATGAAAAATTTTACACAAAAAATCGCACGAACACGTAATACTTAAATGGAATGGAGTTGGAGATTGAGAAGGATATAAAACTTTTAATAAAAGTGACAAATTATATCTCGTTTTTTTAATTTTTAATGTTGATTTCAAGGCCTAGGATAATAGCAAGGTTAATTGTCAATACAAATGTTACCTTTTAAGGGTTTTATTTATTGTTTTTACTCCTAGATCCCTTTTTACATTTTGCTTTCAAAGTTCATGCTAGCTAACAATTAAACTTTAGACTCTAGATTTTGTTTTCTTGTATTCTGTGGAGATTTTATATTGGATATGGTAACTGATAAAAGCGTGTTATTGTACACGAAATCGTATCGGATAACATATATCCGTTCTGTAGACACGCCAACGATTCAAATTGCCTTGCTATTAATGTATATCATGCGCTTTTTAGCTATATAAGCACCCAACGTGCATCCGTGCTTTATCAAATCAGTATAATGCTGTTTCCGTTTAGCGTATTAGGAATATTCCTGTTTTTATGTGATAGTTCCAATAGCAAGGTAATATTTTTTTCAAGGAACGTATAAAAATAAATACATTTTCATGACAGCGCAATTGGGACTTCGAACTTATCTCCATATACTCGAACTCTACTGATGAGAGCAAAATGAAAATAGATCTGCACATCAAACGGATGCGACGTGGCGAATCTGCAATATTCGGCGAATGGACATGGCAATATGATATTGACGACACCACCGGGGTAATCCATGCACCAAGCTCCACTTATGGTAATTAACTAAGTTTTGTAATATGTATCCATTTTTCTGTTTTGACAGATTGAAATGAAATCATTCAGTTCCCCAAGTGGAGCCGAGAATGACTATAAACCGTTGCCCTACCATATACCAAATATGAAATTTGACGATTTTTTAGATAGATACTATAACGATTTGTTCTATAAAAATTATAACCACTGCACAAATTTGCCGCTATATAAAAACAAAGTCGAAACCCCGTGGAGCAAGACAACTTTTAGATACGAAAATTGTGTGCCCATAGGGTACGGAGTACCAGAAATTCTGCCGGAAAGCTTCTATAAAATAATTGCCCGTATTACCGGCGAGGTGGAGGCTTATTTCGTATTTGTTGTTAAGATCTCTCGGAAATTCTTTTGATTTAGTAACAAGATTGAATGTAAATAATAAAACTTGAAACTGATTTCAATCCAAGAGTGTAAATTTTAATGCCTTTAACAAAATGTGCCGTCTTTAACATATGTATGCTAACAATATATAATTATGATTGCTGTTTAAAAGAGTCCGACTAGCAGATACCCTGTAAACAGCGTCATATTCTTGAGCCTTCTCCTTTAAGCATTTAGCATTTATTTACAAATTTCTTTAGTGAACATTTTTATTTTCAGTTAATATTCTAAAAAAAAACTAATTGATGACCTAAAATATAAATGGAGATTAGAGCTAAAGTTCATTCATATAGAGTCCTGTTTTTTTTTTTATAATTTAAGGCTAAGATTTGAAGACGGTCTATTGAGGTTCTTCGAGCACTACTTTTTCAGGCGTCGTGTGGCACGTCGTATGGGTCGGCTCTCGGGCGTGCTGGGCGGTGCGAATGGATTCATCTGCTGCGGCGTACCAGGCATGCCGGGAGCTGAAGTCGGTATGGCGGCACCGCCAAAATTGGTGGCTCCACCATTTATAGCTGCCGGCGCCGCCGATGGGCTGCCAAAGATATTCGAGGCTGTTGGATTGCCAAAGGCAAATGGTTTGGCCACATTGCTGCTCTGCGGCGTGGATGTGATGCCTCCAAAAGCAAACGGCGTATTCGCATTGACTGGTGGTGCATTGCTGCTGCTGTTGTTGCTGTTGTTCGCGGTGAAGGAGAAACCGCCCGGCTTGGCCTGTTGCTGATTCTGTGCGGCGGCCACAGCGTTGGCAAATAGATTACCGCCAGGAATTGGAGCATTATTGGTCGTAGCATTGCCGCCAAATGTAAACAAATTCGGAGTGCTGCTGGCTGATTGTGCTGGTGCCGCAAATGCACCAACGCCGTTGGCTGGCGCAGATGTTGCTGCTGCAGATGCTCTTGCTGGCGTCGTGTTGCCGCCAAAACCAAAACTAGGCTTAACGACGCCTGTGGTGGCCGCCGGTGAGCTGAATAAATTTGTGGTTTCGCTCTTTTGAGCCACCGAGGCAAATGAGAAGCCGCCCGCTCGTTGCTGTTGCTGTGTTTGTGCTTGTCCAGCTGTTGCCGGTGTCGTCTGTTGTGGCTGCTGCTGCTGCTCCTGCTGTTGAGCGCCAGCATTTCCCCCAAATGCAAATGGCTTGGATTCTGTTGCATTGTTGCTGCCGAATATGGGCGTCTGCTTGGCCGTTGCATTGAAACTGAAAGTGTTTGTGGCCGCTGCAGGTGCAGCGGCAGTTGCAGTCGTGCTATTAAAACTGAAGCTGCTGGCTGCTGAAGGCGCTGGCGCTGATCCTGCAGTTGCTTCCATTTTTGGTCCATCACCGTTGCCCCCGCCAAAACTGAACATGCTGCTGCTGCTGCTGCTGGCCTTGTTGGGCAGTGTAAAGGGCGTTGCTTTTGCCACGGGCTTGTTAGCACCAGCAAATGCAAATAGATTCGAGCTGTTTGCTGCGGGCGGAACAGCTGTTGTCTCCGTTGCTGCTGCTGCAGTTGCTGCACCGCCAAAACTAAAAGCAGGCTGTGCTGTTGTTGCTGATGCACTGCCAAATACGGGCGTAGCTGCTGGCGCTGCTGCACTACCAAATATTGGCGTAGCTGCTGGCGCTGCTGCACTGCCAAATACTGGCGTAGCTGCTGGCGTTGTTGTGTTGTTGCCAAAACTAAACATCTTGGCCGGCTCAGCAGATGTTGCTGCAGATGCCGTCGTTGCAGCTGGCTTAAAAGCATTGCCAAAGCTGTTGCTAAGGGCGATCGGTTCCTTGGGCTGAGACGGCCAGTTATCAAGCTTGACACCAGGCGCAGCTGTTGCAACTGTTGCTGCTGCAGCATTATTGTTATTGTTGATGTTGCTGCTGCTGTTGCCAAATGTGAATGGTTTGCTGGTTGTTGTGGCTGCTGATGCTGTTGGTCCTGTTGCAGTGGTTGCACCTTTTCCAAAACTAAATACTGGAGCGCTTGCCGCTGTTGTGGTCGTGGTTGTTGCTGCAGCTGTTGCAAATGGCGTGCTGTTTGCTGTTGCAGTAGCTGCTGGCTTACCAAAACTAAACAAAGGTGTGCTTACTGTAGCTTCTCCTGGTACTGCTGATGATGCTGCTGCTAGTACTGTTGCTGCTGGTGCTGCTGCCGCTGCAGGTGCACTGCTTGCAGTTGTAGCGATTGCTGGGTTGCCAAATGCAAACATGGTTGTTGCTGGCGCTGCCGTCGTTGCTGGCGCTGCTGTTGTTGGTGCACCATCTGCTACGGCTGCTGCCGCTGTTGGCTTGCCAAACGTAAAAGCAGGCAGCACAGTCGCTGCTCCTGCTTCTGCAGTTACGGGCTTGCCAAACGTCAGAGCAGGCGAAACAGTTGCTGCTGTTGCAATTGTTGCTGAAGCCGAACTCATAAATGTAGGTGTTGATGTTGCTGTTGTAGCTGCTACAGTTGTTATTGGCTTGCCTGTTGATGTCGGTAGTGTAAGGCCAGAAATAGAAACTCCTACAGTTGTTGACTTTTCGCTGACATTAGGTGTCGCGTTGTTAAATGACAGCAAAGGCAATGTGCTGTTGATGATATTTGTTGCTACAGTTGTTGCTGTTGCTGATACTGTTGTTGTTGCTGATGCCGTCGTTGTTGTTGTTGTTGTTGCAGCTGCTGCTGTTTTTGTCTCGGCTGCTTTAGGAGCGGTTGTTATTGCCGTTGACGCCGGAACATTCGTCGCTAGTGTAGTAGGCTTCGTCGTTGTTGTGGTTGTTGTTACACCTGTTACTGTGGCTGTCGTTGTTGCTGGTGCTGCCACAATTGCCTTCACTGGCGTTGCATCTGCCTCATCTGACGCCGTGTCATCCTGATAGATTTCACCGCGCAGGCTACTCAACATTAAAGCCAGTTTGGTTTTTTGTGTGCGCTCCAGATGAGAGTTTTTGTTTGCGCCCAGCGTATGCTGCTGCTTGGGCTTGACAAACTGTATGCCCGCATATTCGTTGGCGTCCACATCGGGACTGTCCAGATCCAGGTCTAACGGCTGTTCCTGTTGCTGCTGTTGTCGTTGTTGTGCATTGAACAGCGTCAGTTTGGGTTTGGATGGCTCGTGTCGGCTCTGCACTGCGGGAGCGGAGACTGTGCGCTGTGCTGCTGTCACCGGCAGCGATGTTATGGGCGTACTCTGTGTCCTAGTCAAATGCTCCAGACGTAAATCAGCTGTGGAGGGTTGCTGATTGCGCTGTATTTTGGCCGCCTGTTGGCGGGGTGAAGTTTCCGATGAGCTGCTGCTGCTGTTGCTGCCACTGCTGGCATTGACATTGTTTGTGGAAATGTTGCTGGTTGCGCGCATATCGTATAGCTTGCGCTTGTAACTGTGTAGCTTGCTAGAGCTCAGGGAGCTGGCAATGTCATTGCTATAGCTGCAATTGCGACGCTTGGCCAGCTGTTCCGGTGACTGCTGTGGCGAGACGCTGGCGGTAAAATGATGCGCTGGCATGTGCAAAGCCTGATGTGGATGCTGATGCTGTGGCAGCGCTATTGGCGGATGATGCAATCGTAGTGGCACCGAAACGGTCAGTTCACGCTGCCGCTTAAAGCCAGACTGTGGCTGCAACATGGACAACTGATGATGATGATGCTGCTGGTGATGCTGCTGCTGATGATGCTGCTGCTGCTGTTGATGATGATGATGATGATCCACGTAATCGGCAATGCGATTGCAGCTCTTTTTGCTATTATATTCGTTGGGTTGAATTTCCTGCAAACAGTTCTTGTTAGTTAAGCCAAAGCAATTGCCACCAGAGCCTGCATCGGATAGACTTTGACTTACGCCGCTGTTGATGCGCTTGCGCGAAATCTCCTTCAGCTCCTCCAAGACGCTACGCGTCGGTTCGCTTTCGTGCTGCATCGGCGGCGGATGCATTATGGGGCGATTTTCGCGCGACAACTGATCGCTGATCTTCTCCACACCCAGCAGCGAATTGGAACGCAAAAGGCTGGGTAATGTGTTGCCACAGTAAAAGCTGCGCTCGGGCGGCGCTATGCGTGTCATAGACACCGACGGCAGGCTGGGTTTGTGGCAGAGTGGTGACACTGCAATGCTGGAACGTCGCGGCTGTGTAAACGGATTGTAAACATTGTTAAAGGATATGCTACGCTGCAAGCCACGGCCACTCTCCCGCTGGTATTCAACAATGCGCGAGGCTAGGCCGCTGCTATGCACGTCCGCAAAGGTTCTGTGTGCGGGATTAATAATATTTATATTCAATTTGAGACTTTTAACCACAGTTACTCACTTGGGATCCAACTGGCTGAGATTAAGTCTTTGACGAGTCATTTTGGATACGCTCGTAGATGTTCTTGATAGCTGATGCAGGCTTCTGTGCTGCGGTGAGCCATTTGAGTAGCTGTTACTTAAACAAATGGTCGAGTTACTGCGCTCCTTGGACCCAAAGTTCGTTTGTAGCTGCTGCGTCACCGTTCGCTGTCTGCTAATAAATTAAATAGTGCTTTAATGAATATACAAGTATAACATGAATGCTACTTACGCGGGCATGCCATCAATCCATGTGGAATCCGCCATGGGCTTTGATAAACGCGGCGAGTGGCTCAAACTATAACGACGCTCCATTGTTTTATTGTTTTGATATACTACGTACAGTGCAGTGTGTTTTAAGCTTTATCTGCTAAATATAAGTACGTTTGACAAATTCGAATCACAAATGTGTAAGACAAAACTTTATTAAATTACCAGATGAAATGACAAGACACACGCCGAGCAAGCCAAATGGGTTGCCGCCGTTGTATCGGCTATCGATAGGCAATAGCGTCAAGTTGCGATAGTAGCAACTTGCATCTCTGCTAATTTTACCAATGCATGGTAACTCTGTCAGTTTCCGTCCTCCATCTTTCTGCATTGGGTTTTCACGATGGTGAGTTCGGCTGCTAGTTTTCAGCAAAAAATAAATGGTTTTCAATGTGCAAATGGCCCTTGAGTGATGGATATACAGTAACCAAGCGCTGCCAAAGTTTTGCGCTATAAAGGCATTTACATGTGTTAAGTTAAAAATGTCGTTATTGCGGGGTGCGTGCAGCAAACAAACATGAGAGCGCCATAACCTCGAAAGCGAACGTCTACAATCATATGTGTATTCCAAAACACGTAGAATTATTGCAATTAAATATTAACTGGCAATTTTTCTGTTTCTCATTTTTAACAGCCGCCTAAGAAGGACGCAAAGTCGTCGGCCAAGCAGCCGCAAAAGACACAGAAGAAGAAGGAGGGCTCCGGTGGCGGTAAGGCCAAGAAGAAGAAGTGGTCCAAAGGCAAAGTCAGGGATAAGCTGAACAATCAAGTACTGTTCGATAAGGCCACCTACGAGAAATTGTACAAGGAAGTGCCTGCCTACAAGCTGATCACCCCCTCGGTTGTCTCTGAGCGCTTGAAGATCCGCGGTTCTTTGGCCAAGCGTGCTCTGATTGAGCTGCGCGAAAAGGGTAAGTTAACCACACTCTGAACTCCAAGCAAAGCAATGTTTTTCATCTATTTCATGTTTTTTTTTTTAGGTCTGATTAAGCAGGTCGTGCAACATCATTCCCAGGTCATCTACACACGTGCCACCAAGGGTGATGAGGCGTAAATTTTTTTTTTACCGCACATCTACAGTGTCGAACCTTCATTTACAATATTGCAATTGATTTGTATGGAAAGTACCAAGGCTCTGCTATGTGAAGTAGAATGTTGAATAAACTTGCTTTTTGATGTAAGGAACATGTGTGTCACATTTTATTTATTTTTTGTTATTGTAATTTGCAATAAACCAGTTTTGTGCATTGTTGCGAATGGTACAGATGTTCCGAGTAGAAATAGGCATGTGTCCGTGACACGACCTGTTTGTCGTCTTGTTTAATGCAATTGTATTTACAAGCAAAAAAAAAATACAGCTAAAAAATGAAGTAAAATATATATATAATATATAAACTATTGAAACAATTTGTCTTGCTAATCACGCTCGATAGTTTTGTGTGAATGTCATTTCTGTTAGCTGTGCAACCCTATCGCCGTTATAACGTAAAGAATGTTTACTGGGTAACATTCACATACATTTAATGACAACACGGCAGATTGGTTGCAGGTTGTATTTTTCGACTGATTTAAAAAAAATGAATTAAATTGCAAGTTCTCAATAAGACAATACAAAAAATCAAAAACAAAAACGGATCCGCAAACACCTGTGTAAATAAGCGGCCGTTCGAGCGGCACGTTAACGTAGCAGGAAGCGGTACGTGCGGGTCATTTACACGAAAAGTTGCCGCCGACGCTGCAGAGAAATTCTTTAAGCGTTTAGCAACAGAGCCAGCTGTAGTGGGGCCAGAGCTTAGCCCAACGATAATACCACGTATGCAAACAATTAAAAAAAAACCCTAGTGTGTGTGCGTATGTGTGTGATAACAAGTAGAGAATGTGTGCAATTATTTTATTGTTTCGGTTTTTTAGGCCAACGCACGTTATTGACATTTGCCGCTACAATGATACCGTTAACGCACAAGGATCGCAGCAACTTTGCCTACCGCGTGAAGGAGAAAGTGAACAGCTGGAAGCGCCTCATCTTCTCCGATCGCAATTCACGCAATTTGTTTCTCTTTCTGCTGCTTAATCTGAGTTTCGCCTTTGTCGAGCTCTTCTATGGCATCTTGACAAACAGCTTGGGTGAGCTTAGCATATAGCATGTGCACATTATCTTATCCAAGTCTGAGACACTTAACTTAAATTTACTTATCTTTAGGTTTGATCTCGGACTCTTTTCACATGTTCTTCGACTGCACGGGTCTGTTAGCTGGCCTTGCTGCCTCCGTCATTACGAAATGGAAGGCCAATGATAAGTTCTCCTATGGCTATGTGCGCGCTGAGGTTCTCGCGGGCTTTGTAAACAGCTTGTTTCTGCTCTTTATTGCTTTCTTCATACTATCCGAGGGAGTGGAGCGTCTAATAGAGCCGCCAGAGGTTAAACACGAGCGTTTATTTGTGGTATCTGTGTTGGGCCTGCTAGTAAACCTCGTAGGCATTTATGCCTTTAATCATGGCGGACATGGACACTCGCACGGTGGCGGCGGCGGCGGACATGGACACTCCCACGGTGGGTCCAGTCATGGTCATTCCCACAACCACAACGATCACAACAATCATAATCATCAGGCCATCTCTTTGGACAATGGTAAGTTGAGGTTAACACCATGTTATTTTCATGTAATTCTTATTTTCCTGCTGGTTACAGGTCACGGGCACTCGCATGATCACGGAAGCCACGGGCACTCGCATGATCTTGGCAGTGGCAGTAACTCCCAGATCATGCGTGGCGTCTTTCTTCACATTCTCGCCGATACACTGGGCTCGGTGGGCGTCATTATTTCGGCTGTGCTTATGCAAATGTTTGGCTGGATGATAGCGGATCCCATTTGCTCCATATTCATAGCGTTACTAATTGCGCTCAGCGTGCTTAGTTTGATTAAAGAGTCCATACTGATACTGATGCAACGCCAGCCCTCGGCCTTGGATCGCTCCCTGCTGCAGTGCTATCAAAAGGTGACCGGCCTGGCCGGCGTCTATTCGGTTCAGGAGCCGCACTTTTGGACGCTCTGCTCGGATATATATGTGGGTGCCATCAAGCTGGAAGTGTCCAAGAATGTGGATCCCACGTATGTGGTAACGCATACGCGCATGATCTTTGAGGCGGTGGGCGTGAAACAGATATATATACAGCTCGACTATGTGTGATGAGCGGCGCTCCAGTTTTCTATTATCTTTATATACATATATATATGATTACTATGTATATTGAGCAGCGTGTGTTGTGTGTGTATGTATTGTAGTACGATGATAATTATGTGCTTTTTTACCTAAATTTTAGTTTCTTAGTCTGAGTGCGCTATAAAAAAAACAACCAAGAGCTGTAAAGTGTAAACGAAAGTTGTACGAGTAATTTGGGAAACTTTGTTAATTTATTTTTTTAACTTGTTAAATCGACTCATTCCAATACTATCAAAAGCGAAACAAAGTGAACGTAGTGCAACAATGCAGCAACTGCTGTTTATATATAAACTTAGTATAATTGTAATATATAAGTCCCAAACTTATGCATTCAAAATAGTATATGCAATTATTTAGTCTTCTTTTTAAATTCGAAAGATCAAACCCACATACTATACACATTTAATGAAATTTGACTGAAAACACATACATTTTTCCAAGTTTCATTATTTAAATGGAAATACTTGCAAGAGCCAGTTTTTGCTGCATCAAAATCTGAACGAAATAAAATAGAATTTGTTAATAGCGTTTTTATACACACAGAATTGATTGTTTATTCAAAAAGTTAGTTGTCTTTCCCGCTGGATTGATCTTATTCTTAAATACTTAAAATTCCAACTGGAATGTTTTCAGATATTGGGCTCCAGAATTTTATTTTTATAAAATTGTTATCTTTACGGCTGTAATCTGATAGGATCCACTTTTATTGTTATATTTATAAACAAATTGATTAAATTCATTTTTCTCGCAAGTGTATGTATGTCAAAAGCTGCCAGATTATCAACTGGACATCTGATTCAAAAGCGTTACCGTCCCAAATTTGAATTTCCGTTGCCCGTGCTCAAATTTGTGCCCTATAAAGTGTTCACAGGCAGCGCATACTGTACACAAGCGTACACGCGATCTAACAGGTATACACGTGCGTCTGTATGTATGTGTGTGTATTTAAATATTCTATTTGAGAGTGCGAATGTGTGCTTAGTAGCGATAGGCGGCACCTCGGAACAACGCACGCTTATACACACATGCACAGAAATCTGCTTAAATAGGTTTATATATTGCAGAAAAACGGTATACAGTTGTTTGAGGTTATATCGAAAGCAACAAATTGTACAAAATGTAGGACATTTTTATTCACAGTGGTGTATAGATGCCAACAGAGTAGGATTGATGTACATACATACGTGTATTGCGCATGACAAGAATTGTCGACAAGTATTCGTATGTATCATTGTCAAAGGTCAATAACATTTCGGTTGTCAAAAATCTCCAGACCTTGGCTGAGTCATGGCTCAAGGGGAGAGTCGCAGCAATAAAAAAATACCGGTGAAAGCAAACCTTCGTAAGTCGGCAGCTGCAATGATATCTCAATTGCGCCTACCTGAAGCATCTAGGAAAAAAGGGTGTTACAATAAACATCATTTGAAATTGCAGTTTGTGTATATGGTTTCCGTTTAATGTTGTTTTTATTTTTATTACATACAAATGTTCGTACTTTTTTTCAGAATGAATATCATGTTCTTTTGACAATCCGTATTCAAAACGTTAACGAAAGCATACAAAATTGCTATAAAAGTATTAAATTACGCTGTTTTCAATTACAATAGTTTTACCATAATTTAGTTATTTTTAGCTACTGTGTGAGTGTGGCTCCTGGTGGACTTGTTCTTCCCGGTTCGCCTCATGCTACAACTACAAATTTTGCTCATACAATTAACAGTTATATTCATTGATACTAAATAATATTACGAAATCAAATTGAAAATTTGGACCTTGCCTAAACATAAACATAAATTTCGTCGAACTGTTGCCAAGAATTAGGAAAAACTGTAACTAATAAAATCCGTTAGAAATATGTAATAGGTATGCGTGAGTATGTGTGTCTGCTGTCTGTCTGCATATTTGGGTGTGTGTATGTACAGTGGTGGCTCTTGCTGTTGTGCCTGGATTGGGCGATGCTTATTGTAACTGTTGCCGCAAGTCACCAAGTCGAGACATACACAGAGACGAAGTATGTTCTTAGCACTTCTCCTCATCAAGACCATGCTTGAAGAACATAAAAACTGGAACGCTCTCGCCATTGATATCACGATATTCACACATGGCTACCATGCCATCAACGTCCATGGACTCGCCCGTGAAGAATTGCAGTTCCTTGAAACGGCCCAGAATGTCTTTCATGGCTTTGTTCATGTTGGTTTTGAACACATCGACCTGGTCAGGTGACTTCTCCTGTAGCTTTTCCAGCACCTTCTTCATGTAATCCTTCAGGTAGAGAGTGTAGGATTTCTTGTCTCCAAAGGCGAACGATTCCTGCAAACGATGATTTAAAACCACATCGACACCAGTTTCAACACTGGCGTCTGTGCCCTCGTCCTGTTCTTCGGCCGATGGGTTAAAACCCTCGATAGCAATATCACCCTGGGAGCGGCTGACTAATTTTCCATAGACTTCATAGATAACCTCGTCGACCAGTTTCATTTTGTAGGTGTCTGCGAACATCTCGTCACCGGTAATGATATCCTTATAGATTTTCATTTTGGCGTTTGTTTTTTAATAGATGCGAGCTAAAATATCTTGCAATATTGCAATTAACAATGCACCGAACCGGGACCACAACTGCCACGCGCTGCAACAGCAAAAAGAAGGAACGAGAAAAAAAAATGGCGAATGATGTTAACTTAACATTTGCTCATCTGTTAATAACAGTGAGCACTAATATTCTTTATCGAAAATTATTTAAATTTGATTGTTTAGTTTTGTACCGCTATTTAATACAGTTCACGTAAGCAAAACAGGTCCAAATGAGTCACGATACTTTCTAAATATATGTAGTTTGTATGCTGCATAAAAAATTAAATAATTAGAAAATAAAACTTGCCTGACAGCACCAAACGAGTAAATTCTTCGAGATGAGCGTTTAATAGTTGAGGATACAGCTGTCTACAAAATTTGCATATGATAGTTCTTAACTACTGATTAAACCTTTTCAGGTGTATATTAAAATCAACTGATTGCCAAAACCCGACTCGATTGGAACTTCTTTATTCGCGATACCTAAACTAAACAATTAGCGAGTTTCCTTTTAGAATAAATAAATAAGAATAAAAAAAAAGTAAAATCGATACATCGTAAACCGCTATCGGTAGAACACACGAATCGATAAGCTTTAGGCAGAAAGTATCGCAGGCGATTCCCTCTAATGGAAGTGACGTTGGAGAAGAAACTCCAAGGATTTCAATTGGTAGCGCAGGAAAAGGTGTGTGCAACAACTAATTCAATAGCTTAGAAATAGAAATTGTTGTGTGGCCGCTATAGTTGCAGGCCATACTATGTTCCATACCGGGCAAAAAGGAGCTCATCTTGGAGCCAGAGCTGATTAAGCCGCTGGAACATGTGTGCACTGCCTCCTGGCTTAAGTGAGTGAATTTCTGAGTATTTAACATCTGTGATAAACGGAACACCTCTTCTAGGTTAAAAGGCATCCAGCGCATTTACAAGCATGATGCGAAACAACGTCTGCCCCGCGCCGCCGATCAAGTTCATATTTACATGATACGAAGTCTACTGGGCACATATCAAACGCTGCTGCGTCAGTTGCAGCAGGTGGCTATAAACGCGCCCAGTGAGTCAACGGATTTGGCATTGCGTATGTTTCATATTATTTGCGTGCCCAGCTGCTATGCATATTTTCATGCACTTTTGGAACAGGCGGGACTGTGGGGTGTGGTGCAGCTGCATCATTATAACTGGGATTTCATATACCTCGATCAAGGTGTGCTCAGTCTGGAGCTGCCTAATGTGAGTGTGGGGTGGCAAGACTTGGGGTTTATGTAGATGGACCTACCATTAATTTTAAATTCTGACTAACAGCATATTTAATCTCTGCCCCGGTCTCTTCCCTTATCGCTCGTTGACACAGCTCTACGAAGGTCTCTATCTGCAAGGCAATAGCTCTGTACTGCCTGCTGTGGCAACGAGCCTTCGCTTGCTGCAAATGATCTGTGGGAAGCCTACTGTAACGATCACATTCGGCAACCACTCGGCGCAACTGCTGCAGTTGCTGAAGGCTCTCGGAAAGATACCGAAGCCCCCAAATCCACCAGAATTTGGTGCCTGGCTAATTATTGACAGAGACAAGGACTATACCTCGACACTGCTAACACCCGCAATCTATGCAGGTCTGCTGTTGGAGGTGTTTCAGCTGCGCGCTGGCGAAATAATCATAGACAATGCCAACAACAAGATACGCAATCAAAAGCTGCAACTTCTCCAAGGCAAAACTGGCCCACCGCCAAACGCAGGCAAGCCCAGTTGCATACGCCTGAGCTCTGACTGTGATGAGATTTATGGCGATAATCGTTACAAACATTTCGCACAGGCTAGCAGCTTGGTACGCGCTCAGGTGAAAGCTTTGGGTCTGGAGCTGCAGAAACTTAACGAAATGCAGCTAGAGGAAATGCACGACTACGTGGCACGGAAGCTGCCCAAACTAACGGAGCTGAAGGCCAAAGTGTTGCGCCATCTAAATGCTTCCGAGATTGTCATACAAATGCTGGGCAATTTTCGCCGACTTCAAACTCTAGAAGAGGACATCCTAAACAACGTATCACGCAAGCGCCTTCTCACCGAGATCGATGAGCTGCTGACCACGGACGGACAACGTTTCAATACGTTACGCCTGCTCTGCTTGCTGCATTTGTGCGCAGGCGTTGCGCCCGAGGAACTGCAGAGCTTTGCTCGCAATTATTGCAACATGTTTGGGCATCGGGAGCTGCGCGTTTTTCAGCAGCTGGCCCAGGCGGGCTTATTGCCGGTGCTGGTTCCAGAGCGCAAAACATCTGCCAAGCTGTTGTCCAATTTGCCGCTGCCCAAGTTCCAGCAAACCGAATTTCAGGCCAATGCTAATCGTCTTAAGTTGTTGACATCCTGCGCAGATGTGGAGCAACCTGCTTGTGGTAGCACCAGTGGCCATCCTGCTCTAAAATCCTGCCCCAGCTTTGTGTTTAATGGTATGTACATACCGCTGGCGGCTCAGCTTTGCTCCATGCTTCTTAATGTCAACAGCGCCGAGCAGCTGGCCACCAAGTTGGCAATGATCGAGGGTCTGCAGCTGCATGTGGGCGCAGAGGCTAATACGCCCAAAGCCTATGCGGCGCAGTTGAAAATGGCGCCAACAGAGACAGCTGATGTTTTTCCGCTGCGACTTCGCAACTTGTTTGTGTTTGTGGTGGGCGGGGCTAATTATGCAGAGATTGCAGCCTGTGATTTTGTGGCCAAACTGACGGGCGCCCAAATAACTGTTGCCTCCGATACACTACTAGCTGGAAGCGATCTTATCGCTGCTGCCTTCAACAACTGAGTATACATCAATCAAATATTACATGTCTATAAACGTAAATTTTAAAATTACACTAATTTCCCTGTGGGAAATTATTCGAATTGTCGATAGGCAAGGCTATAGATTTACTAAGGGCTGACACGGCTGCGACCTTTGCCAAATCTGGTTCCCATTTTTGTTTAATAGTCCACTGGATCTGTTTTCCTTTATGGTTTTATAATCGGTTGCCAAAAATATTTTTTTGGAGGATTATTTCACACAACGTTATTCCTCCATTTTTGGTAAATTTTTGGTAGTTACTGGTACAAAATGACAATCGCCATATGCAGATAGGTTATACAAAAGTGTGACCATATTTATTCCAATGAATAGGACATTTTGTATTTTATTCAACGGACATTTATACATAACGGTGTTTAGCATTATTAATTTGTATTTAATGTGCTACTGATTGTCTCCCGTCATGCCGGGCACACGGTACAGAAACTCCCCATCATCATCGTAATAGGCATCCTCCACGCGATATGTGGCTCCTTGACGGTATAATTTGCGTGGTATAACAATGCGATCCTTCACTTTGCTCATCTCATATTTACGCTGGTCCGCAACGCTGATCACAATTTCAGTGCGCTCGAATTTTTGCACAAAACTAGGCAACACACCCGTACCGCTTAAATTGGACAACTGTTGTTCCAGCTGTTGCTGTTGCTGGGGCACCAGCTGCGACTCCTTCAACTCTTGCAAGCGCATTTTTCGCTTGTTTTTAACTTTGTCCAGTAAATAGGTTTCATCCTCAGACGCCGAAGGAACCATGCCCCGCGGGTCTGTTCGCTGGGCAGACATTCCTGTTGTCAGCTGCTTGTTGCCTTCGTAGCCCAATAAGGCACGAAACTCAGTTTTTTGGGGTACTGGTAGCTCCGGTCGCGTTGGCCACTGCTCTGGCGTTAACTGTTGCAGGTCTCGTCGCTGGCGCTGTGCGAACTTTTGCAGGTGATGCAAAAGCTCTGGAGGTACACCCGCGCATTTTCCAGCGTGCAATTCGGTCCAGTTGTGCATGACGCTGGCATCGTGGGAGCGTATGCGTTCCACACTTTGTGGCCGCCATTTGGAACGTAACACCTTCTGTACAATTTCCGGTGTTGCCGGAAAACTCTCAGCCAGTCGCTCAACGCTCCATTCGTCCGGATCTCGCTCGTGCAGCAGACGCATTTGCTCCTTTTCCGCGTACAGCAACAAATTTAGCAATTTGACCTCGCGAAAATATTTGTGCTTGATCATGAACTGGCGTACACGATCGCGTTGCTGTTGCTGTTGAGCATTGTGTTGGCGATCTGTTTGATGGACGAACATAAAATCCGCTTCCATGTCAGCATAATCCTCACTCGCGTCGGCACTCTGCTGCTGCAAATCCTGCAGTTGATAGCTCATGCCCGGATTGGCACGGCGGGGAACTCGAGCTAGAAGACCCCACTTTGCCGTGTGCAGGCTCCTTATGATGCGGCGTGCACTCATTTTAACATTATTGAAATACCGTTTTTATCGCAACATGCAAGCTATTATGGTAAGACAAAAAGCACTGCGGCATTCCCGCAATTGAAATAGTTACGATTTGCCTAAAGTTATCGATTAACAGCTGATGTTTTTCTACCCGATTGACCGATGACCGTCTTTTATTTTAGGTATTTTTTAATGCTTCGAAGAACAACGCGTTATTTTGCGAACTTTTTAGACTTGTTTACAATTGCTTAAGTACGTCTACAATTTGGGAAATAAACAAAAAGGAGCATGTCTACACCAAATAACGAAGCTGGTGCGGGCAATTTAATGGACGAATTCGAGGAAGCTTTTCAGGCCTGTCTGCTGTCGCTAACAAAACAGGAACCGAACTCCGGCACCAATAAGGAGGAAATCGAGCTGGATGTGCAAAAAACAACAAATCGTTTTATTGATGTGGCACGCCAAATGGAGGCATTCTTTCTGCAAAAACGATTTCTTGTTTCCACTCTGAAACCCTATATGCTCATAAAGGATGAGAATCAAGATCTCAGCATTGAGATACAGCGTAAAGAAGCGTTGCTGCAAAAACACTATAATCGTCTGGAAGAGTGGAAGGCCTGTCTATCGGACATACAGCAAGGACACAATCGTCCCACGCCGCCCATGATGCCAGGGCCATGCCCTACTGGCATGCAGCCTATGGGCGGCCCCGGACCGCGACCCGGTTTAATGAGCGGCATGCCACCGGGCGGATTGCCGCCCGTAGGTCAACTGCCTGCAGGACAACAGCATTTACTGCAGGCGC